CCCCAAAACCCCAAAACCCCAAAACCCCAAAACCCCTCGATATTTGCTCTAAATTGAAAGAATTATTGGTCTTCTTCAATCCAGACTTTCTCCTTAAGCTCCTGTGGGAGCTTAAGCAAGAATAGATCTCTTGAAATATTGCATTCCCATCTGTCAATTTCGAACATGCATTCTTTGAGTCTTGAGTGGTAGATAGAGAGCAGGTTGTGCACTCCCTCTTTGTCACCTCAAGATGAGGTGATACTTGTCTTTGAGAGATCTATCTTTGAAATTTTGAACTCTGTATCTAGGAGAACAATCTTCTCATCACACACTATGTCGCAACCGACTAGAGATACTTGACTTCTCAGGAGAGGGAAGTTATTAAACAATCTTTGGATGTCTTTAGAGGTTAAGTCAAGATAATGAAGAACAATGTAATCCTCGATTCCAAATTTCGAGTCAGGATCATCTGCATGTTTAATAAGTGAGTCAATAAAGGGAGAGCCGATTAGTTTGGTTTCCTCTCAATCCTCAGTAGGCTCTACATTTATTCCTATCCCTTCAATTTCATGTCTGATTGAACTAATACACAGTTCTATACTCTAAAATGCCAAAATTACCTGGATTATCAGATTCATCAAGATGGAAAAAGTTAATTTTCTTTACAGATTTTGGAAAAATATATTCATCAGAGATTTTATTGACTAATTTCTTTGTCCATTTGAGTGCCATATCAAAGTCAATAACTTCTTTACCAATCAGAGTAGCTCCTTTATTCATGACTCCCCTCATCTCTCCAGCTAAGGCTTTAAGATCTTTAATAGATATCTCGGTCTTACAAACAGGTTTAGATTTCTGATCCTCTGTGCTTAGAGCTGAAGACTGAGGATTAAAACCTGAAGGAACTTTAATCTCAACAGATTCATCAATATTTTCATTTGGTGACAAGCCTAATCTTTCTTCAATTTTAGAAGTCAAGAGAACATGGAAAGTTTGACGAGACACTAAGCAATCTGTAATTTTCCATATCAAAGAGTTTTCAGTGCTGTCAACTAATGATTGAGCTGCTATTCTGTCTATGACCTATAAATTAGAAAGTTTAGTTGATAAGTCAATTAAAATAAAATTACCTCGTAGTTTCCATTCATTTCCTCTTTCTTTATTCTTTCCTCAATCGAACTAACTTCATTCGAAAAATCATTCAAATGAGCTTCGAGAGAGGCTCTTAATGAACGTCTAGAGAACTATATCCTCATAAAACCCTGAAAATCTTCAACAAAATATAATAAAACTCTTCAAAAAGATTTACAAACCACCTACCTTCTTCGCTATCTCGTATCCCTCATCAATCGCTGCCTTGACCCTCGCTACCAATATCTCAACACTTCCCAAAAATTTCAATTCCTGAATTTTACACTGTTTGTATCTTCCTTCTCTTCATTTCCCACAAAAATAAAGAGGTTTTGAAATTTCTTCTTCCTACACAAAACACTCATTTTCAAAAATCCTAAAAGACTAGTTCCTTACCTGGTCAGGCTCAAGGCCTTCGCCATAAGTCATGAACTGGATTGGGCCTTGCTTGCATTCCTCGCATGGATAAGCTTCCATCTTTAATTCTATAAATTTCCTCTTCAACACTGAAACTAGAAGAAGGGGTTTTGGGGTTTTGGGGTTTTGGGGG